CTTCTGGGGCTCCAGGAGCTTTGAGGCCGCTTGCAAGCGCATGCGCCGGTGCTGAGGCGAGGCCTGGCGGAGAGGCTCGTCGGTTTTCGCTCCGGTGCTCCGTGTTTTGTTTTTGTTGGTGAGATCGTCCCGTTTTTATTTTATTTTATTTGTTTATTATGTTTTCCCCCCCCCCCTGCTGTGTCCTCTCTTTTTCTTCGGTTTCACTGTTTTTTCCCCCCCGGTTTGTTTCTGTTTTTTCCCTGTGCTGTTGTTCTTTGTCCCGTTTTGTTTTACCCCGTGTGTCTCCCTCCACTCTTCGGCCTGATTTCTCTGGCTGTGTTTTTCTCCTGTCTCGTTTTTGATGTGGTTGTGCTTTGTCCCTTCCGATGGAAGTGGCATCCACTTCCCAAATACTCTCGCACACAAACAAGGCAGCAGGGCCACTGGTCGGTCTTGTGCCTGCGGACCCGCCTCCGCTCAAAGTGCCGTTTGATGGCCCACATTTGGCGGTGGGTCAAAAATATGGTAACCCCAAAATGGAACCCAAAATGGGTTGCCCTGGTAGACTACAACCTGCGTCCAATTCCTGGTGGTTTGATTTTGACCCACACCCATTTCAAACCACTTACAGTAGGACTATAGTCAAGGGAGTTGACTTTTAGGATACACAGCTTTTTGACATGTCTGTGTAAGCGGCCGATCAAAAGGTCGTCCTGTACACATGCGTTGAAGTTCCAGGCCTCTTCCATTCGGAAGGTTCTTTGGGTCTCTTTTTGTTCGGGGTCCCCCTCCCCCCCCCAAAAAAAAATGAGGGTGTTCCATCTGGTTTGCCCTCAAAACCAAACAAAACGAGGTGTCCACCTAACATCAAACAAAAACAAAAGGATCCCCCCCCCCAAACAAAAAAAAAAAAAAAAAAACGTTGAACCACCCCCATGTCAAAAGCAAGAACTTGGCGCCACCAACGCCAAACCCCCTCCCTCCCCTCGCCCTCAAGGGCCCAAGGGCCAGGCGCTCATTGGCACCTTCAACGCTTGCGCCAGCGACATGACCTGCGCCGAGTCCGCCCCGAGTCCGCCCCGAGTCCGCCCCGCCGAAACCCAAGGCCTGAGTTCTCCAGAACCACCGGAAAAACAAGCGGAAACGCTTCGAGTGGATGGTTTGTAAAACAACGTAAAACAGTTTGGCTGCTTGTGAAACATGTGTTGGCCCCCCAAAACTGGAACCAAACTGTTTGTTGACCACTAAAACCGTCCAAACCCAAGGGACAGAAGTCCAGGAGCGGAAGCGAGGAGTCTCCGGCCGAAAATTTGAGACCGATCCATGAAAACTGGCGCCTCGCCTTTTTGGTTTACGGCCCAGGCGGTTCCTCACCAAGGTTTTAGCATGGGTTCTTGCACGGCAGTGGGTCAAAAATATGTACCTAAGATGGGAACCCTGGTAAATGGAAACATGGATTAACCTGTGGTCCCGTGGTGGTTTGATTTGACCCACAGCCACACCTCTTCCCTTCAGCCCGATCCGTTTCGAGCTGCCGACCTGCCTGGGGGCTTCCAGCCTCGGCGTTGTCCGGTGCTTTTCGGTGGGCATAGGAAGTCTTCCACGTGGCTGGTCTCCTTTTAATCGTTTGAGATACGGGGCTTCGAGCGTTGATACATTCATGTCATATTCACTCTCCCAGAAATGGTGTCACCCCACTCACTGCCAAAGGACACCTTCTTTCATGCCTTTTTTTCGGCCCTCTGAAGATGCCACGGCGAGAATTAGATTTTGGATGCATCCTCAGACCCACCTGTGGTCAAACCCAACAGGTTGGCTTTCCAGAGTGAGGAAGGACTCATGGTGACTTCATGCCTCAAGCCCGAGCACAGCGCCTCGCCAGTCGAAGCCACTGACGTTGCGTACTACCGGCTGCCGCTTTCTTACCACCACGATTGGGTCCATTCAATTGGCATTCTCCAAATGACTCGAGATAAAAGATGGTCTACAGGGAAACGACTAGAAGTGCAACTTGACACATGCTGAGAAGCCCACAAAATGCCACTTCAACAGACCCAAAGCTAATTGAGCGCTCGGCCAGAGGGCTGGCGGTGGGCGAAGCTGCCGGGGAAGACATGGGATAAGGACCTCGATGCACCACTGCAGGGAGTCAAACAACTACTTGAGTAATAAACAAAACCAAATCCATGTAGCTTGAGTCGGGTATGCTTGAGTACTCTAAAATGGTCTGCCCAAATCCATGTAAGGCAATGTTCAGCGGAGATCCACACCCATTTCTGGCTGGGATTATCCCTTGCTAACCTTCATCTAGATTGTTGATTGTGGCTCACTAGGGCTCCCCACCTTCGGAAGCGGATGGAGATGAGGCAGCATCCTGGGGTGCGGGACTTGCTACTCACTGAAGATGAACCGAGCCTTCACTGCCTCTCCATGTCCAACTCAGCTGCCCCTGCAACCTTGTCGAAATCCACCGAACATCAGTTGACCGCAGTGGTCCAACTCGTCTTCTCCCTCACTTCGCCTCCGCCTTCGACACCAACTTTTTGGTGGTTCCTTGGGGAACTAAGGTGGCCCCCTCCATTTCCAGAGGTTCTGTTCTTGCTGGATCTCAGGGAATGAGTTGCAAGGACCCCAAAGTAGGGGAAAAGAGGCCTCCTAACAGATGGGTGCATCGGGCAACTCGGACCATCCCATTTCCTATGGTTTCCGTTAATCGCCAATCCCCCGGTTCATTCCGACTTGGTTTCCTCATTTCGGGAATTCCCCAAAGCCGGGTCAGGTCCAACACCCGGAACCTCGTTCTCTTTCCCGTCCCCCACCTCCCGATCCCTCGCGGAAACTCTCGAAACGTAGGTGGAAGCCCCACCCGCCTTGGCCAACTTGTGAGGCGGTGCGGCGCTCTTCACCTGACTCGACTCGACGCGCGCCCCAAATGAGCGCTGTTCGGTGTTCGGTGTTTCCCTTATAAACAACACCACAAAAAGTACCCTCCAAAAAACATCGGAAACAAGCGCATGAGGATGTTGCCACTGCTGCGCACATGCGATCAATGTATTTGTTATGTTTATGTACGTGTTGTTTTATTCACGTGTGTGTGTGTATTGATGCCTTGGTCTATTTGCTTAGTTAATAATGTGTTTGTATAGTTGTTTATTTCGCTGATTGTCTATGTGCTTGATTGATTACTTGTGTATGTATATATGTATGTATGTACGTACGCATGTATGTATGTATGTATGTATGTATGTATGTATGTATGTATGTATGTATGTATGTATGTGTGTGTATGTATGTATGTATGAATGAATGTATGTATGTATGTATCTATGTATCTATGCATCTATGCATCTATGCATCTATGCATCTGTCTGTCTATGTATCTATGTATCTATGCATCTATGCATCTATGTACCGATCTACCATGCATCTATGTATCGATGTATCGATGCATCTATGTCTCTATGTATCCATGTATCTATGTATCTATGTATCTCAGTATCTATGTATCTGTCTGTCTATGTATCTATGTATCTATGTATCTATGTATATATGTATCTACGTAACTACGTATCCATGTATCTATGTATCTATGTATCTACGTATCTACGTATCTACGTATCTACGTATCTACGTATTTACGTATCTACGTATCTATGTCTCTACGTATCTACGTATCTACATATCTACGTATCTACGTGTCTACGTATCTACGTATCTATGTATCTGTATGTATGTATGTATGCATGCATGCATGTATGTATGTATGTATGTATGTATGTATCTATGTATCTATGTATCTATGTATCTATGTATCTATGTATCTATGTATCTATGTATCTATGCATCTATGAATCTATGCATCTATGCATGTATCTATGTATCTATGTATCTTTGTATCTCAGTATCCATGTATCTATGTATCGATGTATCGATGTATCTATGTATCAATGTATCCATGTATCTATGTATCTATGTATCTATCTATGTATCTGTCTGTCTATGTATCTATGTATCTATGTACCTATGTATATGTCTGTCTATGTATCTATGTATCTATGTATCTATGTATCTATGTATCTATGCATCTACGTATCTACGTATCTACGTATCCATGTATCTATTTATCTATGTATCTACGTATCTACGTATCTACGTATCTACGTATTTACGTATCTACGTATCTACGTATCTACGTATCTACGTATCTAGGTATCTATGTATCTATGTATGTATGTGTGTATGTGTGTATGTGTGTATGTGTGTATGTGTGTATGTATGTATGTATGTATGTATGTATGTATGTATGTATGTATGTATGTATGTATGTATGTATGTATGTATGTATGTATGTATGTATGTATGTATGTATGTATGTATGTATGTATGTATGTATGTATGTATGTATGTATGTATGTATGTATGTATGTATGTATGTATGTATGTGTGTGTATGCATGCATGCACGCATGCATGCATGTATGTATGTATGTACGTATGCATGCATGCATGCATGTATGTATGTATGTATGCATGCATCTATGTATCTATGTATTTATTTTTCTATGTATCCATGCATCTATGCATCTATGCATCTATGCATCTATGCATCTATGCATCTATGTATCTATGCATCTATGCATTTATGCATCTATGTACCGATGTATCCATGTATCTATGTATCCATGTATCGATATATCTATGTATCTACGTATCCATGTATCTATGTATAGGGAATCGCGAATCGCGCCTCGATCCACTTGCCGCGGATACGGTGATGCTCGTACCTTGCGCAAATGCCCAGTGCCAACGGTCCAACCGCAGAATCAGTCTGCCTGAAGCAAACCACTATGAAACACAACAACAAAAAATACAAACCAGTCGATCGACTGACTGACTGACTGACCGACCGACCACAATGAGCCATGCAGCCTCCCAGCCTGCCAACGGCAAAAAACACAACCCTGTCATGAAGGTGGGCTCGCTCGGGAGAATATCAATGATGCCTGTACCCACAAGTTC